GAAAAAACAAAGATTTATGTAACCTCCAAAACAATTAATCACCCAATTCCGCTATGTTCAGGTCTGGGATTGTATGTGTTTTTTGTCGTGAAACCGAAGGAGAGGTACATGTCAAGTACACAATTTGATGCCCCCATGCCGCACCCAAAGTAATTAATGGACTGACCTGATACGGCGGGTAAGATGAAACATGCCCCAATCACGGAGAGAGTGATTCTTAGATTGTGTACGGAATCCAATAACTTCTAAAGGCCCACTGGCGATCTCAACCCAATCATTATTGTGCGCTCAACGAAGTCGTGCTCATGATTCATGATCCCCTGCTTTCGCCTCAAATCCCCATGGAAGCAGACGACTGTCCTCTAGAGAAAAGAGGTCAACAAGTTCACTTCCATGTAACACACGTGAAGTGTTTGTCAGAGTGTAATAGTTGGCCACCTCCTCTTTGTGCCAAAGCACAAAGGGCCGTGGCATGCCACAGCTGCGACAGAACTTCGCACCTGGCTCGTTGGAGAAAAATCCTTCAGGATACAGTAGACCCCAATAAATAGAAAAGTGGATCCCCATTTAATGTACTTATTGGAAAGCGTTTCTATCTACTTGTGGACCACTATAGATGCTTTAAGTAAAACGGTTGTATGATGGTTTACATACAAGCTCATCCCACTCTCATACACCCTGCAAGAAACATGCATCCACACGATCGTCTGGTTTCAAGAGGCAACAACAAAAACCAATGTCGTGTCTCCACCCACAAACCAGAAACTGAACTCTGATTCATTTGCCTCACCTTTTGCACTGAATCATAAGAAACACAATCCAATTCACTTGCTTTGCATATCACTTAGTAGAACTGATGTCTTGAGTGATTGGTGCTCAGACCGGTGCGGCCCAAAAAACCACTCCAAAAGGTTATTTTTTGCAGCATCTCGCCATATCGCAAGCGCAAGCGCAAGCGCGTCCCGTGGTGGAAGCCGTGATCGGTTCTTCACTTGGGCCCCCCCCCTCCCAGAGGTTGAGAGACCAGAACGTTCGGACCCTGGGAACTAGTGGTACGTCATGGGATGGGGCACGTACCACTGGCTGTTCAACCTCTCTTTTGGTCTCTTTTTGGGACGTGTGGGGGCGCCTTTCAAGTATTGGCTCTCGCAGTTGTAGCACGTCAAGGCCTGGCTGAGTCGGAGCCGGCGGAGCCGGAGGCGAGGAGCCGGTGTTGGAGAGGAGGATGTGGTGCATGGAGAGAAGAATTGGAAGGTGCCACTCGTGTTTGTTAAGCCTATAGTCTGGGTGTCTTGGCTGGACTACCCTACACTGCCATCCGGGATCTCCGTTGGATACCCAGACAGGATGGTGGCAGGTACATGGTATATATAAGCCTATATAATCCCGACCTGATTGCAGATGATGCCTGTCTCCACAGCTAGGTGGTTTCAAGTGTCGGCTTGCTTTGGAAGGAACCACCCAAGGACCTGTGATTTATAAGACTGACCTGCTGATGCCTGTGCATCTGTCGGCCAGTCATTCAGCCAAATCCTTCGCTTCCCACCGCACCTCTCATTTTTGTTCACTTGTGCCCAGTGCTCATGTCCGCATCCTTCAAGAAACCCATGTCCTTGCCAGCTCCATCAATCGATTGATCCTCACCACCCAAACGACCACCGGTACGCGGTGGCAGTCGCACGGTACGCAGTGGCCGTATATACCGCGCGCGACTGCCGCGCGGTACCCGCATGCGGCCTTGCGAGGCTTGCCGCAACTTCCACAGAAGTTGGAGTCTTGGGAGTACTCCCCTTGACACCTCGGCTGAGTACTCTTCCCGTGTTTGACACGGGTTAAGCACGCGCCAAGCAGGTTAGGAGCTATTAGGTTAGGACGGCGGTTGGTTTCAGGTTGTTGGAACCAAACAAACAAGAATTGAGACGACAGTAGCTGGAAAGAACATGTAGAGACCAACAAAGGAGCCCCAATTCAAACATATCAAGACAAGTGAACACCCACTGAGCTGCTATGACACCAAATCTATCCAAATCTGTGTGGAAAATTCCAGGAAAGATCCCCTCATATCCCCTCATGCACGCAAAAGCCGGTGACAAACAACATCGACTCCACCCCTAGCTTCACATCCATCTCTTCTGGCATCTTCTGGCTTTTTCTGCTCTTCTCTTTCCCAAGAGATGGTCCATTGCGGTAACCACCCCTCCACGATGACCTTCCCCAGTCCGCTGAAAAGCGCCGCCGAGCGGCCAGGGGCATTTGGGATCCGGCTCATCCACCAGTTCCCCCAAGGCCAGCTGCAAGCGCTCGTCCTGGGCGCGAATCGCGCTTCGCCACACAGAGCGGGTGTCTTTTTTTGCGGAGCGAACTCGTGTGTTCGCCGGTCCGCGAGGATTGAGGTGGGGGCTTGTTGGGGTTGGGATCCGTTGGAGGTGGAGGTGTCCAAGGAAGAGAATCCAGGAGGCTGGATCTGAGATGATCTGAGACTTCTCCCCCCAAAATTGACGCAGATCTGCAGCAGCTCTTGGGATGTTTGAGACGAGGGTGTCTCTTGCAATCAAGTTGGATTTCAAACAGCAAACTCTCCAGGGCGAAGGGTCCAAGGTCAAGGTTTCGAAATCTTCCCTCGAACGGACCAGGTCGCAACAAGAGAAGGGGCTAGGAGAGGCTCCGCCCGAAGCACCCCTTTTTTTTTCCCGGTCTGAGACCGAACCGACGGAAGTGAAGGGGCTTGGCGGGGCGAAGATGCGAAGGACTTGGGAGAGCAAAGCAGTTCCGAGAGTGGCATTCAGCGGCATCCTCACGAACGAAAGCACCGTGCACCCGTGCACCCCCCCCCGGCCTCGGCGCCGCAAGTCGAAACCGTGCACCGCGAGGCACCGCGACCGCGACCACTCGGTGCACCGCGCCCGATGGGTCCTCATCCTCTTCTCCCTTCTTGCCTTTGCCTGAGTCGCTGGGTCAAACACTTGGAGCTGATTTTCCCGTACTGCGCTGAGCCGTGACCTGTCGCTAGATCTCTATGTGACTAAGTGGCCCTTCAGGACCATAGTAGCTCTGATTGGGAATCAGTCCCTAAACCTCTAAGGACCTTCGTCTCCAATCCAATTACTGAGTTAGGGTGACTTCCGGGTGAGTCGCGCTCCCTTCTGAGGATGCTTCATTGGAGTCCTATTGAGTCATGGGAAAGCAGGTTTTTACACGGCTCAACAGTCCTCCAATCGACATGCTCAGCGACCTACCTACCTCATGAAACCGCATAGGCAACCACAGCTCCACGTGGTGCCACGCCTCCTTTTTCGCCTTTGCCCTTGCTTTTACCTGTCGCAAGCAAAGGCATGTTGTGTTGGGAATTGCCCGTGGGTACTGCTTGAAGATGCTGTTTTTGGAGCTGACGAGAACACAGACCGCCTCGCTCTGTCGAGACCAGACTGTTTCAGCCAGTCCAGTCCATCCAAAGCAACTTAAAAACTGCCCAGTAGCATGCTTTTCAGCCAGGGTGGCGACCATGTGGACCAATTCGGTGCAACAAACGGTATTACTGTTGAAATCCGTTTCTCTTCGCAGAATTCTCCCGCACCCGCATCGCAACTCCTCAGGTCGAGCAATCGATGCTCCTATTCGACGATGTGGCCCATACAACCATCCATGACAACCCCGTACGGACCAGCGGCGCGGCCTCCCATCGTCGCTTTTGGCGCAGAGTGCCGACAGGCTCGCCATGGCGAGTACAGTCCTCAAGGAGTACAGTCCTCAGATGTTGATAGATTTGGTGATTTGTTTGTTGTTTTAACTTCATCTGGCGAAATATCCCGTCGTTTTGTTTGTGTTTTGTGTGTGATCCTTTGTTACAGTAGGGTGTTTTTTTGTGGGTTATGATTGTTCTCCAGTCGGGTTCTGCAAGAATCCGGCTGATGTGCCTAATAAAACGATTTGGTCAGTCATGCAAAGACATGAGTTCACAGATATCCTTGCCGCAAGACTTGTACTGCTAAGGCATCCCCGGCTGAATGAGATGCACATCAGCCCATGAACTGCCGTGACAGGAATACAACCCCGCAATCCATCGCGCACACACGCCGAGGCGCTTTTGAAAGTGTGGCCAAGAAACTATTGAATTGCTGAAAAAAATGATCCGCTGGAATGGAACAAATGAAAGTCGTCCAAACAGTAGTTCACATTTGAGCACAATGGCTGAAACAAAGTGCCCATGGATATATCTGCTCGCTGCAAGGCGTATGAAAACTCTTTTTCAGCGTTACTTTTGTGTGACCCTTTCTTCCTTTGTGAAACCAGTGGATTGAGATGGATTTGATTTGTTTGTCAAATACAAGGGGCTTATTGATCTCGGCACCAACCCACCACTGCAACAAGGTCAGTCTATGCGGGGTGTTGGCGTGATCATGCGTGATCAAAATATGTCAACCCCATCTAAATAACACAGCCAACCTCAGCTTTGGGTTTCAAAACTCCAAACGAATGAGTTGGCTATACCTCGGGATTGACACCTGCTAAAGAACAGCAAGAGGGCGGGCAAAAAAACAGATGCTTGGAATCACATCCCAAGACCCGAAGGGGCATGAGCACCTGGACCCGTACAAATCCATAGATTCCTGATTTTGCCAGGGTCTTTTTTTCTTGGGAAGAGCTGCACATTTTGACTGTGTGAAAAGGAGCTAGAATTTGGTACTGCCGGAGGTTTGAGGTGATACCTTGTGGATTGTTCAGTTCATTTTGGCTCAACATCGGTTTAAACAATACAGATCACTTGGAAATGTTCAAAACAAGTGCAATCTTCATAGTGTTTTGCATCGTCCCAGAATATCCCAGAATCAAATTCGATACAACAAGTTGTTCAAATGACTATCGTTTGGCATCCACAAGCTGTCTAGTAGCCTAATCTGTTCCACCTTTTGCCGGAAGATAAACACACACACACAAACAAACAAAACAAGAAACATGTTCCATATATTTTCCAATGTAGCGGCCCAACTGAGCTGCCATACAATCCCTGATTCCCGGAGCTGGCCAAAGTCAGCACCTGGGAACATCGCATCTGGCGCCATGCAAGTCAGAACAAACATTCCATGCTTCGAAAGGAAATACCTTTAAGCGCTTTAAGAGGTGATGAGGTGCGGCTTTTGCCCTGCAAATCTGCTACTGCAGTATAGTTGCAATACTAAAGCGACTTCGACGACATGCGATCGACCTACGGTTTGTCAAGGGTGTAGGCATGTGAGTCATGATTCATTGACTAATTGGAATCTCCAATATATGTTTGAGATCTTCAGATTTGGATTCCAAATGTCTACACACCCCCGGACACAGACCGGCAGTCACCCCATCTGACTCCTGGCTTGATCAGTTGGCATAGAGTGTATAGGTGTCAAACCTGTCCCAGGTCGAGGTCGAAGTCTGTTTGAACCACCTCATTTAGGAACTCGTGCCACACTGGTGCCTTGCTTGTTTTGAGCTTGGGTTTGTCATGTTTGATTGTTTATCCTTCAGCCACCCGCGAATCCTCAAAGCACCAAAAAAAGCTTTCAAAAGCCTCCAAGACACCAACCCCAGGGATTGAAGACAACTGTGGACCATTCTCTCTCAGGCTAAACAAATCCCATTAACCTTACAATTCCAATGAACTAAACGAACTAAAACGAACTCTATCTACCCCCCCTACCTTCCTCCCCCGTACCGCTGTGCCACGCTGCGCGCTTCTAAGAACCCCCGGCGGCTACTTTGCTGATCATCACCATGCGCCGCATCACCGTCTCAGAGCAGCTTCGCCGACACGCCGCAAGGGATGGATGCCGGAGGGCGGCACAACTCATCAGGTCCAGGTGCAAAACCACGTTCCGTCTGCAGCGGGGGGGGGTTCATCTCGCTCAAAACATAATATGAGCCGGATCAGTGGGCTCAAATCATCCCAAGAAAGGTTGAAAAGGGTTGAACATAATTTGTCCAAAACCACCACTCAGAATTCCACTTTCACCAGGCTCCCCACGAACTGGCTCTTCTGCAAGTCTTTGCTTCGTTCCATGCCTGCCATCGAAGCGTGTTATGATCTTTGTACTGGATATAGGCTTTTGAAATAGGAAGACCTCCCAATGAACCCCTGGAAGATGAAGGATGGTTGGGGGTCTCCCCTATTAAAAACATATGCATATCGCATATATAGTGGGCGATAAAATCATACTAGTAGTTCATGGATGTATTCGGCCGATGCAGTGAACCTGGTAAGCTTTCCTGCCATACTCTCCATCCAAACATGGGAGGACGTGTCCTCCAGTTCAATGCTCGTCGGATAGAAGCTCCCTCATCATCCGTTAGACTTCAACGGCCAACAACACGGCACATCAGCATACCGAGCACGTCGCGGCGCCGTTCGGGCTCGCACATTCAGCAATAGTCACTGACCTACGACCTTTTCGATTTTGGACGCCAAGCCATGTCATCTACGGCCGGCCGTCATCTCGTGCCGAACACCACCGTGAAAGAACACCGACATCGGAAACAACAAACATCGGAGCGCCTGTGTAGTCCGGCACCTGGCAAGAGAATGACACCAAGGCCCCCCCAAAATATGACCCGGACCATCCATGTATGGGATATTTACCTGCATTTGGGGTGGTTGAAAAGGGGTAAATGTCTGTAATTATGCCATAGGATATACATGGAGTGTCTGGGTCATGAAATGTCAACCAATGATCCATGTCGGGTATGGGTTCGACCGAAGCTTCCGGGTTCGACCCCGAACTCTCGCCCCAATCCTGTCGGCTGGGTTGGTCCCGAACCTTCCAGGTTGTGACCCGGGAGCACCTCCCTATTTAGATGCATGCATATCTATACCAGGACCATCCGATGCGTGTCCTGGCTGGACTACCCTGCCATCCGGGAGACACCACATAAACACCAAACAGGATGGTGGCAGGTATCTATATCACCACATCCATATAAATGGCCGAAGTCTAGACGGATGGAAGGGAAGGGGTCGCCACGTCTGAGACCTCCAACGATCCATGGGACGCTATGGCCGATCAATTGACCCCAGGTCAACCAATCCCAATGTAGGATGAGTCTGGCCCCCAGTCCAATGAGTCTGGATTGAAACACCTGAGGTGCGCCATCATCTCGGATGAACTTTGGTGAACCCTGACATGGTTTGTGTGGATAGAATCCTCACTCAAGCGTAAGAGTGTGGATGAGTGGGGCGTTGACATAGATTAGGGCGTAAGCATCCATTTGGTCGACATAGGATTTCGCTCTTAAACTGGATCTGAATCATCTTAATGCTCATCTTAATATATTGGATGCCTTAGGTGCCCCTACCCTGGTCCCTACCTTAGGAACCCCTTGATTCATTTGAGCAAGGCATGGAATAGGAACTTCACGACATCCTAGGACTCACAGCTGCTGCATCACTGCCACAGCTGCACTGATTCAAAGGTCGTTCGTGCCTGTTACGCTGCTGAGCTGCCTAGCCTACTTCGCGAATGGGTTTGGCATTCTTTCACACACTCTATATAAGTAAACCTTTGCGAATTGGCTTCGCCTGTGTGAAATCCAAGAGCCTACGCCAGAGGCTTCGCGAGCCTCCGCCAAACATGATTTATCACTCAAATGCCTGTGCAAACATTTGGTGAGCTACAGTCCAATCAAAATGTGTTCATTCAATTAAACATGCTACTCATCTGCTCCCTGTCCAGCCTGGCTCGCATCTTCCATGAAGACCACCTGCCGACGTCTGCCACAGCAGTTTATGTAATAAACAAGAACATATATTCTTCTATATTGGCCATGCATGCGCATTCAACAACCAGGCCTGTCTAAGCTTTCCAAATCGATGGCCCACCACCAAAGGTGGCTCAAAACAGTCTGACAGATCCTCCCAAGAGAAGACAGTGACACTGGTAGAGAACATGTATACATTGATGCATCGAAATACACAACCTATCACAACCTCATCTTCGAGAGTGTCGCTTCTTCACAGACCTACGTATGGATTTCCAGGCTATACCGTTGGCCATCAGCGGCACCATGGGAACCCATCGACTCGCCATCGACTCGCCATCGACTCGCCATAGGCGCCTCATCCTCGTCGGCGCCCCAACGCTCCTTCACATCTTGGAAGATCTTCTGCTCCACGATCTGAACGTTTCGCGATGCCGGAGCATGGGACACATCCCCTTCTCCGGCGGCATTCTTGGATTCGACTCCGACGGTTTTTTAGAATACAAACCGCTGGTGTCATCTGGTGTCAAAAGAACAACTTGGTGAGCCTAGTAGCTTTGCAATGCAAAGCACGCTAGTTGAGCGTCTGCCAAAACGTACTGTCAATGGACAATTCAGCAAGATTATTGCTATTGAGGGGGGCCGGGGGCCTATCGATTTTTCAGATTTTAGCTCAATTATATACTTAAATTCACGACCGCTCTTTACTGGCTAATTTACTAATTAAATTAGTCAGTGCACGTTTTGGCGGTTGCTCAGTTGAATTTCATGCTATGACCATCCAATGGGTGTCCAAGGGACTACCCTACGTCCCTACGTCCCTACACACATTGGATGGTCCAGGTACAGCGGTTCCATCTCTGGCAACCCCGACTCTTCCTGAGGTCCGAAGAATGGAGGTTCATCCACGAGTTCAGTGGAGTGGACTGCACCTACCCGCTCGGGGTGCAACTCCGTTCGGGGTCTCGGAAATCCTATCTGGTTGGTGTTTTCAACCCACGAAAGAAAAATATGGGTCCAATCATCCCCAAGTAAGGGTGGAAAATCAAGACATATTCGATACCATCACCTAGCGTATGTCGATCTCTCTTGTACCCCTCTGTGATCCCCGAAGGTCCAGGTACAAGCAGGCATTTCATCCGGTCGAGCAAGCATCTGCCAGCAGATGGATTGGCAATGCAGCAATAGAGGTGGAGAATCTGCTCAAACAAATATATAATCACACATCATCACCAAGACCAGTCCGTGAGAATTCGCCCCACCTCATGTTTCAAACTGCTTAGTTCAGTTCACCTCACGTTGCCCGGTACCCAAAAGGCAACAAAAAGGGGTCACAAAGACCAGTAGCATCTGCACTTGCCCCTTGCAGAAAGTGGAACCTGGGTCGTTTGTCCCCACCGGTTTTCATGGACATCTTCCGTGGCCGTCCGGCGCGCCCACCCTCCCTCCCCACCCCCAAAAGCCTCCTTGGGCGTCAGCGTCGTGCCCACCCGCGCCGCCGGCACGCCGAAGAACTGGGGCGGAGCCAGAGGGATCGGAAGGCATGTTCAAAGCTACGCCCTAGGGATCCAACATACCCTCAACTACTTGGTGGGACACTTGGTAAGGGCAGCTACCCTAGTAGTTGAGGGTATGATCCAACTACATCCTCAGGTATTTGGACCCTCCTGGCACCCACCCAAGGGACGACCGGAGCCCAGAAGGTACGACTGGAGTCCTAGGGACGGAACCTGAAAACCCACCACGCCCGGCTTGTGGACATGTTGGTCTTCCTTGCAGGTCCATGCCGTTCGCCAGGTTCCATGTGGCAATATTTGGAGTGCTTTTGAAGGGTCAAAAGGGTGGGAAAGATCTCTGACATCCTGAAAACGTGTAGACTTCGTTTTGATCTATGCCATCTATGCTGCCCACAACTGCACACTGTGCTGATTGAATTCACGGCACCTGGGTGGAGTTCCGGTCCATCATGAGACCCTGGGTCAAAGAAAAAAACATATCAGCTTTCAAAGTCCAGCCATCCCAAAATTGATCCAACGTCCAGGACGCATCTTTAAAGTGCCAACAACTTCCAGTCACGAGTCGGGGTGTGATCCATGGAGCTTAGGGGTGCCGATCCACTCACGTAAGGGGATGAGTCACACCACCCAACTCCATGTGACTCCTGGTTTGGTGGCTTTCACTGGCTTGAAACCATCAGTGTTGCGGCACGAAGCCTCAATGGTTCTCCACCAGCCATTGATCCAACCGTCCACCATCTCATCCAGCCGGGCTCAGTGCTTCTCGGCTCGGTGCTTCTCGGCTCGGCTTCAATCATGCTTTCAGTGAGCCGAGTTAAAGGTGCTTCGCATGTCGACCTCTCCAGTTTGACAGCACCTAGTTAGTTAGTTTGGGGGGTGCACCAGTGCACCCCACATGCAGCTGCAGTCCGAGTCGAACACGGCTGTCGGACCGACTCACCGCCACCGACGGACCGCTCCACCGTGCTACCGTGCGCCGAGCATCCCGGTGATCCCGTGGGGACGGTGGTGGCGAGGTGGTGATCTGCCACACTCACCCAGACACAACCCATTGAGACTGGCATAATTTCGATCAATTCACCCCAACCTCAACTGATCGGTGACATATGCCAGTCCCGATGGTCAGGGTCATGCTCTGGACCAACTACCTGTCCCCCACGGGGTCACGGGGTTCGGACCGGAGCACCTCGAGGCGCTTGTGGAGGTTCATCGCTGCTGCATGGCTTTGTGTCACGCACAGCACCCGGTCCTGGCGCGACCGGAGACCGCTGACCGCCGCTTGGACCAGAAAGCAAAGCACCGCTCGAGCGGTTGGGGCCAACCAGCCTGGAGGTCTTACGACGGGTACGAGTAGCACCGTATAGCAATTGGTTGGTTGTTTGCTTTGCTGCCATATTGGCCATACATGCATGGCATATGATTCAAAGAAGCGCTGTGTCCCCCATGCCGAAAGAATCTGCGCACGTGGTGGAATTCCCTTGGTTGGGAAGATGTTGAAAGGCACACCAGTCAAATGGCCACCACAGCCGCCATCCATGGTCTTCTTATATAAAAAGCCGCACCACACCCGCCATTCCTGGCCGCCCCAAGAGCTTTTGCGGTGCTTTGGGTGACCTCTTGGCCCTGTTGGCCCACCTGTTGGCCAGCCAAAAGCAGACCACTCCGCTGCGCTCAACGCGGACCACTCCGCAGTCCTCGGGCAAGTTCTCGGCCGCCGCCATCGCTGCCGCCGCTGCCACGTGCGTCTTACCGGTGCCTCAAAGCGCGCTCTGCTCAGTGGCCCCCAGGGGGTTGATGTGGCTGGTTCATGAACTTGTGCATGTGAGGTCATTTTGGAACACCGAACAAACATAGAAAGCGAATAGACACCATTAAATGTGAGACATGTAGAGACTATAGGGACTAGTCACTATAGTCCTAAAGACAAGAAACATGTTCCAGGTCATCCACGTTTGAACAACTTGAGCAGAGTCCAGCTGGTGGTCCTTTCATCCCAATCTCTGGATGGGGCGTGTCCGTCTTTCACGAAGGACCACTCGCCTGGTGGCCCTCGCACCAAGCTGCATCTCCTGGACCTCGTGTGGTCACACGGATGTCGCGGTCGACATGGACATGGATGGACTGGTCTCTCTCAATTCAATGCCCTTCATGTCGGTGACCAGCCGGGAAAATGCTGGAATCGAGCTCTTAAAGCCTTCAGAGCGCAACCCACATCAACAACCCAGGCAACCCACATCCGGTTGATGAAATCTTGCACCTCGAGAGCCAGCGAACATACGTTTTCAATTACTGTATAACGGTATAACTTTAACAATATTGTCCCAGTGCAGGCTTTGGGTCAACCAGCACCAATCGCAAAGCTAAAAGATCTCTCCTCTTGCGCCTTTAGACCACAGCGGATGGAAAAGCCATGAAGTCCAAAGGACTTCAACTTGTTGCTTGAATTTATTGGCTGTTGCCTGTCCTCTATGTGCTCCTTCCCAACAAACGGGGAAGGCCAAAAGGGGGGTGCAAAACGTCTCGGACGGACATGACTGCAGCCGGAAGAACTCCGAATTGATGGCAGTGGTTCCAATTGGCTTGTTGACACAGCAAGTTGACTCCTCTATTCCACTGAGCAACATTTCAACAGCTCACCCAATCCATGAGATCCATGAATCGTGGCAAACAGATTCCATATTGGGCACACTGGATGAGCTTAGGATCCTGGATGCCAAGAAGCTCCATTGCCAGATCCTCTTCGTTCATCGGAAGAAGAATCTCAAGATCAAACAATTGTCATCTGGGTGTGTCTCAAATGTTGGGAAGTCAAGCAACCAACGGCAGCTAAAGCAAAGTTGTGAGTTGCTGGCATCCACCATTCGAGGACATCCCCTCCTGACAGGAACTGTAAAAGGCCTGCAAACGCCCTGGGGAGATATGAACGCCCAACGCTCAAACGCCCCCCAACACGTCGAAGCGACGTAGCCTGGCAGTGAACACAGACTCCTTTTGGAGGCTCTTAGTGCCGGACTGATCACCCAGAACAAAAGAAAGACAAAAAAAACCTGGCATGTAAGTGTAGAACATCAACGAATTCATCCTGTGACCAGCATCTTTTGTAACATGCCAAGTGCAAACGTACCCTGGTAGCCAGTGTGACGAAGGGGTAGCGGTAGAGCACCCGGTAGCGCTTCGATGGACCGGACATGGACCGTGCCGAACTCGGCGGCGTTGAAAGGAAACCGACGCATAGTCGGGGTGTTGTATATGAATGAAGTAGTTACAGTCGTCGACTCCAAAAAAACGCATATGACAAAAGCATTGAGATCCTTTTCGAACCCAAAAATACCATAAATACCCTTATGTGTTATGTTTCGCTTATGTCTGGGGTAGCAAGAATGGTGTCTACTTGTGATGCAGGATATCACTTTTGTCCATCCATCGACGGAACAGAATACTCCACTGGATTCTTGTATCATTACACAGCATTTGACATATCGCAGGTTGTGTTCAATTTGTTCCGTCAAAAAGATGCTCGCTTGTTTCAAACACCCTCCGGAAAACATGCACGCACCAGCTAGGTGACACCTGCAAAGAGTCATGTGATCCATTTGCGAGAATCCATCAACCCAGCCAACATGTTATTTAAAGACATACACATCAAATAGTCATAAATAGTCCCTGTCCATATAATATATGGATGCGGCCGCCAATTAGGATGTCAGTGTCGGTGTTCCAACCCCAAACATCAAATGAAAAGGAAAGAAGTTCAGAACTGTGGATGCCTATAGGACCGATGCCCATACTGTAAATCTGGAGTCTGAACATGTCTGAACCCAAACAACGAGCATGGAGCCTTCAGACCGGCAAAGATCCACTGCCACACTTGGGCCACGCCCACGCTCGAGTAGAGTAGATCATAAGTTAAAAATGATAAAGTATGACAAACCCTACGGCTCCAATCATACCTTCTGAGAAGGTCTTTGAGGTGGGTGCCAGGAGGGGCCAAATACCTTCTAAGAAGGTCTTTGAGGTGGGTGCCAGACGGTCCAAATATATACCGAACCTGAGGAGGTACGGTACCTGGAGCCCCTTTAGGGAAGAGACGCTCTGTGGGAACGGCGAGTGGTTCTTCACTACTCCTTGCTGCTACATGGTACACGATTTCTGCATGGATATGTTGCTCCTGGTCACGGTCAGCTTCTGAACAAGGAGGCTGTTGCATGGAGTGGCTCGTGTGGTGCGTGGAAAATTCATAAAATAGCAGGATATTCGCACTGGCCAGAGGACTTGTGAACAACATCAAAAAACAACTTGTCAGAACCTCAGCTCTGTGGCTTCTGCAAACTTTGTTGCTTCTTGTTTCATGAAGCCTGGTACAACCAAAAAGAACATCCGTCCAAACCGTCCAAACCGCTCCAACATTCGTTCAACACGAGTCCTCTGGGCAGCCAGATATGGTACCCAGGGCAGCCAGCTTCATGGCAGAGACAGCTTTGTACAGTTTGCACAGCTTTGTACGCCGCTTCGCCCTGGTGAGTCTCCCTGCCGAGGAGTCCGACTCATCGTTTCAGGGGGGTCCTTCAAGTCCGTCAGTGGTTCAGGAAGAAAGCGAGGTGACAAAGTACATGGCCCGTGGAGAAGTCACGCGTTCATCGCGTCGCTATGCGTTCAAGGGAGACGTGATCCTGTTCTCTTTGCTTGGACATGTTTGAATGGGAAGCCCCTCCGTCATTCAAACGTAAGGTGGAGGCTGTTGCACAGTCAACGACAGAGAATGTGTTGGGAACATGTTCCAAAACAACATTTTCTATAACAACAATCGAACAATTGACCGATTGAGTGCCTGTCTTTGGGTCACCAATGCACCAACTATGGATACCTCAGCCTCTCATCATGACCTGAACCATGCATGCATCACCTGATTTTTTGGAATTGCAGGAAGACCAACTTTGCAAAGGAAGTGGGTACAGCTCAGGCGCTTTTCGACCTGAGAACCCAAGCGGCCACGGCCCAACTCAGCTCAATACATTGACAGCACATTGGAGAAGTCCTGGGAAAGCATGGAAAATCATGGACACATATATATATGTATATAGGAACAAGAAGCTACTAGCGGCTCCTTGCATCGCTACGAACGGAGCACTACTAGGGGCTCCTGGCCGGGACCTCGACAAGCAACCGAGGTTGTCCAAGCAACCTCGGGGTATGGGATAGGTATGAACATGGTCAGAATCTGCCCGAGCCCCTGTCCTGGCCTCCAGTCTTCGATGCTTCGACGCGAAGCAGGCCATTGTCGGGACGATGCAATCCAGCAGAGGTTAAGTGCCCGTAAATAGGACCGTAACCTGTGGTACCTATGGGATAGTCTAGTTCGGGTTCTTCAACCTCTCTTGGATTGTCTTGTTCCCGAACTTCATACATGGGAGGTTTTGGGGGATCCCGATTCACAGCACGGACGGGAACACCTGGCTGACTCGCCGCACGCAGGACGTGACCCCGCACGGGCTTTCTTTCAAGGACGTCCTCTGGGGGTGCCCGAAGCCTTTTCCATGCTTTTCTCTTCCCGGGGCGAGTGGACATTGTATCAAAACGGCTCACCGTTCACACCTTTGCTACAGGATTGCTGGCGAGTCGAGTTTGCGTAAACATGTCCGAGGAAAAAACACATGTTAAACATGCGGCGTTTATTGTAGATCTCTGTTCAATAGTGCGCAGCCCAAAACATTTTCAGCTTGGCAAAGCTTGGCATCGAGGATGTGGATGACCCGTCAAGCCCCGCCCGGCTTGCGGCTGAAGAACAGGAACAGACTGGTTTTTCAACACGGACCCCATGCACTGTGTGCGTTATTTTTAAAGCTTTTCATGGCTTTACTTGCGGAAGAATTTGATATGAAGTGAACAATCAGTTGTGCAGGTTCCCATGTCCAACAAATCTCAGATTCCAGTGGCATGATATCTCCTGTCCATATCCAAAGCGTGAGTTGACAAAACCCTGGGAGTCCAAGATGTTGTTGTTTGAGTCCTTAAAAGTGATTCCAAAAATAACTTCCTTTACTTCAGTGGGCAAAACCTGGTCCTTCGACTTAGGGATACTTAGGGCATAATAAACCTTCCCGAAGAGAGTCACCGTGTTCCCAAGGTCAAGTTGGATGGATTGGGTTTCCTCATGCCTCATGCCCTTCATTCGCGTTTTCGCGCGTCGATTTCGCGTCGTCGGATCCCCACCTGGGCTCAGAACGGCATCACGCGCTTAGCCATGGCCAAGACCTACGCAAACGGCCAAAGAATGACACTGCAGGGGGGGCAAGGGAGGATCTGCACCCTTCTTCCATCATCTCTGGTTTTTGTCGAACATCAGTGGGTCAGCAAATGACATGACGGCATCAATATGACATGACGACAATCACAGTTCAGCTCTTCTTTTGTGTTCGTTCGGCACGACGAAGATGCCTGTCAGTGACTACGAGTGGCGCGTGACGTGGCGATTGGCGATGGTGGCGAGTTCAGAAGGTCCACGCAAATCAGATTGAATCCATTTGAACCGAGAAAGACCTTCAACATGCGGCGGTAAGCCACATGTTGCCAAGGTTCGGTTCACAGAACAGGAGGAACCCTGTTTCAGACTTTGTGTGAGGGCCGACTTTATATTGTATATGATCCGTAAATGATACTGTGTTCGTCGCTTGTGGATATCATGGGTTCAGTGTCGGTGCGCTGTGTCTAGATAGTATATTTTATCTAATTTTTATTCACCCTCAAAAAATAACGTTTGCCCTGAACCAAATCCGGTGGTTTTAACCATTGGCGTGGTTGTATGTTAGTGAGGAGAGCATACACCTATATAGACAAAGACCCCAACAAAAACAAACCTGGTGATTTTCCAGCACATGGTTTCAAAAAAAAGGGGCGCCCCTCTACTGTCGTCGTCGTAGGATGGGCTCAAACTTCAACGCAAAGGTTTCCGTTTCCGTTTCGGTCACTCCCAGACGCTCATGGACCCTCATATGGAGGGGTCTGGGGTCTCAAATCCCTAGGGTTTTGAGGTACCAAGAGCTGTTTGGAGCGTCTGGGCTGTTAGTAAGCTAGGTCGGACTGTCGTGCATCGACTCTGCTCGGTCGAAGGATGGAGCAGACCGGTCGTCGTCGAGTCGGAGGAAAGACCCACAGCGCCCCCCCAAACCCCTTTTTGGAGGGACTGACAGGGCACGAAACTGGCACCAAGACAAAGGAATCCGACTTCTGGACATACTGGAAGTGTCAATCTGTTTTTTTTTGGGGGGGAGGGAGGGTGGATAATAGCAGGCATGTATCATGTATACATGGTTTCCGCTGGTGAAACCAGTCTTGGCTTATACTGGTCATCAACAAATCATCGTGTCATCAAAACCCCAATGTCGATTGCCGATTACTCAAAAAAAAAACATACATGTCTGACATCTAGTCTTGGAACATTATTTGATATGGAGACAAGAGAATTCCAATTTAGAAAATAAGGTGGAAAAAAGGCAAGATAAAGGTGAAACAAAAAGGTAACTCAAAATCTAAGGTAATTGCAAAAGGTAAGGAAAAGATAAAACAAAGGCATAACTAAAGGCATATCAGTAGGTGACAAAAAGGCAAATCAAAGGTGAAATGGAATAGAAAAGAAAGCTGCTTGCAGGGCTACCTTTTCTGGTTATCTTTTATTTACCTTTTTTTCACCTTTTTTTTAATTCTCAGACAGCTCCTCTCCAATCAAATATTTTTGCAAATCTAGTCTAAAGAGATAGAACATGGCTACAAACTATTGCATATTGTCATATATTGCCTGTGACTGGTTCAACAAAGCATAACTTGTAAATGATCAACACTTTGATACTTTCATCCCAAAAGTTGGGCTAAGATGTTTATTTGTACAGAGTGGAATCACTTGAACTTGAGGACTTTGAACTATGGGTCTGTTCACCGCTTGACTGGCTCACGGATGGTCAATCTCAAGAAAATACAAGACCACCATCCCGAAAACGCCTCTGGAACCGGAACCAAAACCAAGTTCGCTGGAGACGGTTGCCAGGTGCCCTTTCCCCCACAAAGACCATGGACTCATCTTGAGGACTCATGTTTCCCCCTTCTATCCACGAAAATCCGACGAAGAGGTCGAGACCTCCGCGACCGGTGCTGGGTGTGCCCACCGGCCGCGGCAGGTAGCGCCGCGCGGCCGGCAGTGCCACTGGAGACCGGTCCAGGTAGGGCAGTAACAGCTGAGCCTGGTGTCGGCCGGGCAGGGAAGAAAGAGAGCGACCATGCCATGCGGGGGTTCCGAAAGAGAGCGACCATGCCTTGAGTTTCTGAAAAGGCGGACGTTTTTTTCTCTAATTAAGTGGTGTTTGGTCCGAATTCCCAGCCTTTCCTACAGTAGATGATAGTCCTTTTTTCCTCTCCCTTCCCTTTCATGGTCCTTTCCTTTCCTTTCCCTTTCGTTCCTTAAGTCAAGTCAAGTCGCGAACGAGGCTTTCCACACAACTTGTGGATCAAAGATGTCTCAGTGTCTCGGAATGGGTGCGCTCTTGGCTGGCTCTGGGTGTTGTTAGGAGCCTGTTTGAAGCTGGCTGCACGAGAGAAGTCTTCACCCAACATGTGCGAAGGAAGGCATCTTTCAGTGTTGGGCACTGTCACCAAAAAATATTCTCAGGAGTCTCAAGACATCAAAGAACGGAATGATTGCTTTTCAGAAAGCTTGTTACTTCAGGGTTGCCTGCGATTACCTGTCAGCTAAACATAACACACGAGGGATCTCGAGGGTGTATTGGGAGACTTGCCCAAGAAGAAAAGTCCAAATATGTATGAGTCGAGCATTTTCAACAAGCGGTCTGCAATGTGAGATGAGCCGCAGAATCAAGCCAGGTCGCTTCTGGACCACGCTTGTTCCGCTACACTTGTGACACTCAGACCGATGGGAAGAGCTGTTGACATCCAACCATGGGCTTTTACTCCTGGGTGATTGGAGAAGAACGACTCACAGACTCAGTTCTAACCGAAGCTGTTTTTGAATCCCCCGCTCCTTTCGAAGCTTTCCTTCAAGTATTTGAACCCCAAAAAAGCTGTCATGTTTACCACTCAGTGTGTTGTTGCTGCTTGTACACCACCGGGAGTTGTTCATGTCCTTTACCTGTAGGTGACCTCTTTGGAGGCCGCACATCGGACAACTGTGGCCTTTCCACTTGCCATTGCACATGCCCTCCGGATGAGGAAAAGTGCTTGTTCAGGGTCTCTCCCTGCTTGTAGTAGATGCTGCAGTTGGCACACTGATTGATCCAAGCGAGATCCTTTGGCCTTTGGTGCACGTCCAACTTGTAATATGCACTATATCCATCAACCGCTGGCGCCTTATCGTTATACTTCATCTTGTCCAAGTCCTTTTTCCATATCATCACGACGCCCTCTGGGAGCTGCTCCCCGCGGCAATGGGCCTTGACCAGCTTGCGCTTCTGGGCTTCAACCTGGCTGATCAAGGCGTCGAGCTCAGCCACCTTGGCAGCCACCACCTGAGGTTCATGAAACTGATAAACAAACACATCAGGTCAGGTGCAAGTTGTTTGTTTATGTTAACTATTACATTCAACAAATGGCACAGGGAGTGTCCTAGCATATAGAAAACAAATCACACAACCATTATTATGAAAATGATGAGATTCATTGAGCTTCACATTAGATGATTACACATCATGTGTTTTGTTTGTCTTGATATAAAGTTTGATGTCCTGTTTGGCCTCATGATTGTTTTTTTGCAGGAGTCGGCCTCATGTTTGGCCTCATTAGCACATTTCAAAACACAGCAAGAATGGACAAGAAGCAACCTATCTGACAAATCGCACGCACCCGCAAACCAAACGTTTCGTACTTTCGACCCCAAAAGTGATGAACATGGGAGTTCGGCACAAGTGGTTGTGCAAATAAAACGCAAGAATCCGCTGATTAAAGGGCATCAGCCTAGCTGGCATTCAAGCAATCCATTGTCGTGGATCGTCTTCCTCCGCTATGCTAGAAAGAAGACACCTTCATCAAATCCGCTTCAAAACGAGGAGATTTCATCAAATCCGCTGACCTGACGTTCCTCTGCCATGCTGATGGAACAAGCAGCATACCCGTCTGTGCCGTTCTCAGCCATCGGGGTGTCTGCGGCCATGGCGCCAAGCTGTGCTATTCGATGTGCTCAGATGTGCTTCGAGCCAAACTGAAGGACTCGTCTGCTTCGGCGTGGAAATCCACACTCGTAGGGAAAAAGCTAAACTTACATTTCTTCTGGAATTGAGCGGCCCTTCTTGAGATTTGTTGGTGAAACCTCTGGTAGGAGTAGACATGAGTAGCATATGTGACTATACCATGGTTTCTACACTACGCCACTATGCCACATTATGCCGCTAGAACCACTGGTTACTGGCTAATTACTGGTTATGTTCCGTTCGGTGTGGAAAATATACATTGCAGATTGCCGACTATGGACTCACTCCACAGCTTTGTCATGTGGGTGTGTGTTAAAAAGGGAAATAGACCAAAATCCCTTGGCTGGGTGTCTCCCTATTAAAATACACACCCATGTTCGAATCAGAACTTACATGGTCTGTGGGCCTCCAGCATCACTTGTGCGACGTTCTATCTCCAATGAAGAAGCCGCATCCCTGATGTCAGTTGAAAGATGTTGAAAGTCATCTGACCATACCTCCATCAGCCCTGGCCTCAGCCCTTCATACCCCTCTCAGGCATCCCCTCTCACCCCACTCATCTCCCTCTCCGGCTCCCATGTGCCAGGCCTGAACGTCTTCACCGTTGAGAGGTCCTTCAACCACCGGCTCCGAATGTGTAGCATCCTTTTGCAAGTGGACCTGAAGCACGGCAAACAGGGCAAAAAAAAAAGTCGGACCGGAGCACGATACCCCGTGAATTTAAAGGTAGCAAAGCACACCAAAGCTTGATCCATGACTTGGTGGACATCCATGACTTGGGAAGGAATTGTTTCTCGTTTTTTGTGATGTTTTTGTGATTGGCGGGGCGAAAGAAGCCAAGCAGTTCTTCTGTAGATGTATGATCACCTGGCAGGAAGCCCCAGCCTGCTACTATCCGGGATCTCCAGCCAAGGACCAACTTGAAGGTCCAGGTATATGTTTGTTCCACACCTATTGCTTGGCCAACCCAAGCGATGCAAGGAGGTTTTTAGTCCGTCCTGAGGTCTGCTTGTTCGAAGCAAGATGAGTATCTGACAAAATCAATGGAGTCCTTCAAGATGCTTATTGGTACAGTAAACCAATTATAAACATCTCAGTGAGATCCAGTGAGTATATGCATCACTTCCATGAAGGCTGCGTTGAAGATTCATCACACAGGCTGACGTCAGGCCGGCGACCGATCCATTGTTGGAAACTATGCGACCGGCCGATGAACAAAGCTGATCAGCTGATGATCAGCTGGCTTGACATGCTTTAAACAAGTAACCATGCAGAGACCTTAGTCAACCGTCTCCCTATTGTAAGACACACCCATAGTCCCTGTTAAAGGTTACCAGAGATATCAATAGCTCATCTTCCCCAGTCAGACTCCAGTCAATGGGTTGAATGGGTGCTTTTTGTTCTTTTCTCGGAACAACCACGGAAGCCGACGCGGTCTTCATTTCGAGACATACCTTTGAAGGTGCTGGGGCCCGGGCTGTACATATGTGGTTTATCCTGCAACTTGGGTGCTTTAGTGGAAGTGTTCCACCGCACAGTCAAAAGAATTTTGATGATTGCGCTTCTGGGTTTGCTTTGAACAAATCAATCTATACACCTCTTCATTCACCTGTCCACCCATGTCCACCCTCCCCAATCACCGTGCCTTCACGTCCACGTTCGCCTGAATCCATCACGGGCCAGCAACCGTTGGTTAGCGTAGACCTTTTTGGGAGGGGCTATGGTGACACATAGTCACCGGGATCCGTTGGAAGAACATCGATTTCGGTTTGATGGTGTTCGATTTCGGCTTTGCTGGTTTTAGATGCTGTCCAACGTGTTTCTCCCTGTGTCTTCCCTTTAGTGAAGTGAAATGCCACATCAAGTTCTTCAACAAACGCTTGCACATGCTGCGCCTGATCCTTCGCGGAGCTAGCGGAATCCGGGAAGCTGATCTTCGAACCGTCAGGGAGGACCAAGTCGATGATTCCCCTGTGTGGGATGACTTTCAACATCTTCAACTGCGCAATAACTTCGCCTTCACATCGACTGAAGCCATCACCACATGTCACCACCTGTGCCTCCAGCAGGTTCCTCGACTCTGAACATGAACGTTAGGGGCACCCCTGGGTCATCCAATGGGTGTCTGATAGACTACCCTACACTGCTTATGGCCCTGCATGGGATACCCAGACAGGATGATCCTGGTCCGTGTCGTGGAGAACTGACCCGTCCCCAAGCGGCTGCCGCCGCAGTGGCCTTCCTCAAGGCTTTCGCGAAGTTGGTCGTCATATCCTTAGCCAAATGGCTTGGAGCTGCCACATGTCATGGTCGAATGAGGACGATGCCAATGGCTTTGGACAAAACCACATCCCCCAACCGTTCATTTGCATCCTGGGGTTCTTCAATTCCCCAGGATTAGTGTGACTTGGAGTGAGGAAAAGCCATCACTATGGTCACTATACAAAAAGGCTTGGTTTCATGCCGCTTCCCTGTCTGGCCACACCGAAGAATGCGGGCTTTTCATCGACACGATGACAGCCTTCGCGGCGACATGCCCCAGACATTGGCCCAGAAAGGGATTCATACCTGGAACCCCAAACGATCACCGTTGTTTGAGTGCCAATCAGTTTTGGTAGGTGTTCCAGACTTCCAGGTGCGTGACCCACACATGGGCCATGCCACGGACTTTGGATCACGCTTTCTTGCGCGTGAAGATACGTGACCAAGCTCTCAGTTGTGCAAATTCAAGTGCTTCTTGTCCCTTTCATCGCGGCGGCAAGGGAAACTGGGAAACTACATGATTGACTATGACCCAACCTTCCAGTGTGTGAACTACATGTCTGAAATAAACCTTGATTGATATCATTTGGGCGTGGAGGATCAATATTTTTTAGCCAGCACTCTCTGGTGGTGAGATGCTTGGACCCTCAAAAGGAAAATGCTGGTAGATTGACCTTGGATGTTCAGCTGCAGTAGTCCCAAAATAGATCTATATATCTACTATATACAGTACAGTAGTTAATAGTTAATTATTCACAGTTCCCATAAAAAATGATCAGCATCCATCAATTTGGGGACCACTACATATACGCCTCATGTCTTCCTTACATTGTTTCATTTGTTTGGCAAATGGACAACCCCTCCAGCTCTGGAATTCACTCACTTCCGCCAGCACTGGCCACACTGCCAAGACTCTACAGGCACGCTCGTGTCAGCCTCCGAGTCAGCTTGTCTCCAATGGGAAGGAACTATTTAAACATACAGCATATATACAGTATATATATATATATATCTACAATCTGAAAGGCACGAAACGTGCAAATCAATGCAAATCCAGGACAAAGTCCCTCCATGTCGGGACCAGCAACACGAAGAGCTTCCGAATGATGTTTCTCCGGCCTCGCCATGGAAAAGATGCACCGTTGGCAGGTGTCGGCCAGCCGCACGAGCATAAGCCCCTTCCTGTGCCGACTGCTGTCCGTTCTGCTGTGGGTCTCCAGAAGTTCATCAAGGCATCAAGCACCAGGATTCCAATTGACTTCGTAAGGAGGTTGTGGTTAGAGGAGCCGACTAGAATGCGGTTGCCCAACAACTCAGCATCATATGCATTCTGAATGCCTTGGAAGCAAATAGGCTCCAACACACAATATCTTAAATCGCGACCATCTATCCTTGAATATCAAAGCCTCTGACGTGTAGGTTGGCAACCCGGGCCCAACAAGAAAGCATCATATGCATTCCGAATGCGTTGGAAGCTAAAACGCCGTTGCCATCTAGGCTTATCAATCCCTGTGACGTGTGTAGGTTGGCTACAGACCAACAAGCCAGCATCATACATTCCGAATCCCTTGCAAGTCAATATGTTGCAACCAGCAGTATCTTAGATCGTTACC